TGATTTTAGCTCTGTGAAGTGGCTGCTGATGGTGATGGCCCTGCCTCAGGAGCACAGCTGCTGCCTTTCCAGCTGGGGCAGGTGACCACTCCACAGGGCAGGCAGCCAGGCAGTCGTCTCATCCTGCCTTGGTCTTCATTCCGTGACAGCCACCAGTGGTGACCAGGCCTGGTTCCGATTAGGGCTTTCCTTCCACAGCTACTATTTTAAAAATAGAAAATAGGCACAGAAGGGCAACTGATGTCATGCGTATTCTGGCCCTTACTGTCTGGGCAGCACAAGTCAACAGCTATCTGCTGGTAGACATGCAAAATAAGTAAATTTCAAATCCTTGACAAGTATCAAAATAATTGTTACTGTGAATGGAATATGCACATAGGAGGACAGATATTTTGCCCTCCACTCAGAATAAATATTCATATATTGCTGTTACTAATCTTCCTTTTAATACCTATCATAATTAAGAGAGAAAAACACTTCTAAGCAGCAATCCTAGCATGAAAGTGATGAATTGCACAGTTCAGTATATTTTTTGTTAAATGGGAGAGGAACACTATAAAATTTCTTTAGCTAACCCTATTTCATATAATTGATACATTAAACATTGATGAATTTACCTCTTCATCTACTAATTTAATGATGAAATGCTCTAGTGAAAATAATCTGTCATATATATTGAGATGTACTGGACATGCCAAACTCAAACGGAAAAAGGGGGGCAGGGGTGGAATACAGATGTAGTTGTCAGCCTGCATTGCAGTTTGCTAGATATTTGTTCTTTGAATCCCTGAGAGTGCATCTCACCAGTTGGTCCCTCAACATACTGGAGTGTATGAACAGTCATGAGTGAATTACATTTGAATCTGAATTTGCAGAAATTAAGCACTGGAAAATGAAAAATATAAATAGAGATCTCAGGCTGCTTTATGACATCTAATTTAAAAAGACAAATTTAACATGTCTTCAGCTAGAGTAACACTTTAGCCCCAGGGAAACCTGATCAGCCTGTGATTAAATAAATGTTGCTGATCCTGCTGAACTCAGCCAAGTTTTCCAAAGTATCTATAAGATACACCAGAATGCACTTCAAGTACACTTCAGGAACATTTGTGTGAATGACTTCAGAAAGCCACCTATAAATATGCTAGAGTGGGTGAAAAGTAAGGAGTCCTTAGAGAAATGCTCCTGATAACACACTTTACTGTTCCCACCAGAAGCTATCATTATATTAAAGCATTATTTCAAGTGTTTCATCAAGTATGAATCCTTGTGTTGCTTTCTTTGAAACAAATACTTTTGATTCTCAGTGATGCAAGGGAAGAAAGTGACTCTAGGCCAGGCCTGTAATACCCCACAGGCACTGCAATTAACTTCTTCAGTGTGCATACAAGCCTCCAGTGCATATTCAAAGTTCCATCTGCACACACTCATAATGCACTTTATTTCATATGATGAGGTAATAGATGTGAAGTTCTTGCCTAAACACAAAATCCTACACATGTTTAGGCAGAATAAAGCTCACATTTCCTATCACGGCCTAGCTTAATAATCTGAAATGCTTAGCTTTATGCTTATTAATCCCACATTAAGCATCCTAACGCTGGGATCATCCAATGACATTTTTTCAAGCAATTGCAGGCAATGCCATGACAGCCAAAAACAATAGTTTTCTAATGCAAATAAATTCCAAACTGTAGCTGAGGAGTAAGGTGAGATGACACTAGTTAAATGCTTATTTGTTGGCAGCACAAGGGACATTACAAATGCAAGTTACAATATAACTTTATAGAACAGAAAACCAAAGCAAAAACATGAAATCATGTACCTAAAAGCAAAATTCAGTAAGCTGTACAATAAGAATGGAAATTCCAGGCTTCAATGAAACTGAGTAACCATAAATGTTTAAAAAGGGAATTAAAAAAATAGCAGTATAAATAAGCCTTATTATGTAACAAAATTATACCTTAAAAATAAGCTGGATAAGCTCATGCAATTTTCTGTTATTTATTTATTTATTGCTATTATAAACTGTTCTTTAGTAGACACTCTTAGAATGGTATACTATAATTAAAACAACATAAATATAAGAAAAATTCAAATAGAATAAACCACAATGGACCAAGTAAACAACAACACTACAAGAAAAATTGATCCACGGCAAACCTATAACAGCAAGCGATCTCCTTGGCAAAACATGGTGGATGTCATTAAAAAGTTTTGCTGGATTTTTTGGGCCACTGTTGCAAAAGATGCAATCCTCACTTATAAGGTATTCACCAGAGGCTGCCAGTAAACTCCAGATAAGTTCTGCAGGAGGCCTGACAGCTTTGCTTTGCAGGAGGTCCACCACAAAGCAGGTCCCAGGTTCCTTGTACTCCCCCAGAGCCACACCTGCAGGTCTGCTGAGCCAAAGAAATCCCACTGCACTTCCCATCCAAATAAGCTGTCAGCATAGTTTGGAAATGGAAGGCTGGGAAACCCTTCCTGAGAGCCACAGAGGTCCATCCTGGAAACAGTCTTGTAAACACTGCCCTGTCTTGAAGCAACTGAACCATGGTGACAAGACTCTGTTGGCTGGCAAGAATAATTTCATGGCAATCGTCCTTTGAAACACTCTGCTTATTCCAGTTAGTTAGGGAATTGTGGGTATCATCAAATAGGCCTGAAAGAGCGTTATCTAAAATGGAGCAACCACTCTTATGTTTGCTCAGGAAAGCTGTGCTTTGCCAAAGTCCCATCACTTTTTCCATAAAGGATGAAAGATTTCTTAGTTAAGCTTTAATAGACACAATTCCAACTTCCAGTCTTAGCAAGGTAATGGGGAGCCTGGAGGAAGTGCTGGCACCTCTTTCAGAAATTTTTTTTCCAGTGCTCTGAACTGCTGGGACAATGGGTTATTTTTGCACCATACAGTAATGAGATGCATTTCTAAAACTGGGCCCACAAGAGAACCACCATTGTGTCACTTAAAGGATAAAGTTGCTTTTGCAGTCCTGCAGGCAGCAAGCTTTACTGACTCTGTGTAAGCTTTCCAGCTACCATTTGTAGTTGGAAAATTGTCCCCACAAATATCTGAAGTTGGCACATTGTTCAATTGTTTACTCCTCTAGGTGCCATTTGTGTAAGTGTTTCCTTTTAGGTTTGGAGTAATTTATAACCAGGCTTTCCTTTCCACAGACCAAATAAAGTTTAAGTTTCTGTACATCTTTCAGAGTCATTTAAAGGAAGGCCTTATCATCTACATAAAGTATCCTTTGTACTTTTCAGGGTCCCGAAGATGGGGGGAATGATTCAAAGAACTTCACTTTAGACTGTTTACATTAAATTAATCAAAAAGGGGGGCAGTATACATCTCTGTCTAAGGCCTCTTTGGATGCTGACTTTCCAAAAGAGCACCTCAGACAGATCCATCCAGACTTTCAAATCTGTATGAAAGGTAGACTTTCTGCACCAAAACCAGCACCTGTTTATCAATGCTTGTGTGTGACAGCTTTTCCCATAAATAGTTTCTACCTAGTAAATCGAATGCCACAGTAAAATCCACAAAGGCTACATGCACTCTGAGGCCTACTCAGACTTTTATGAACCAAATGGGAGAGCACAAAAAATTGGTTAATTTTGCTCCTTTCCCACTGAAAACGTCCTTGTTCATAGGCAAAACTGTTTTCTTCTGCTTAAGATTCCACTTGGTTCAGCAGAAACCTTCCATATACTTTGAAACTATGTCCAAGAGGCTAATTGGCCTATAATGTTTGAGCTCTGTTCTTGTGCCCTATTTATATAGTGGAACAATTATACTTGGACCCCCACCCTGCAGGGATAATTCCCGTTTGAGTAAAAGAACAGCTTTGTTAGCCGTGCGATCCACCAGGAAGGACTGCAATTAAATAATTCTGGGGGGAGAATGTCTTCCCCAGGTACTTTGCTGGATATGAGTTCATTAATTTTTTACATTTATATCCTTCTCAAAGAGTTATCCTACTTCATACCCATAGTAATCATGTAAAGTAGTCTTGGCTAAGAGAGGATGAGAGGTTCAGGGTCACCCAGAGAGTTTTGGCATGAGTGAAAATTTGAACTCAGTTCTCCTGTTCAGGGCCAAAATTCTAATTATTTCATCCCACCATTTCTATATTTATTTCTAAATTCTATTTATTAGAATTCTAATCTGCTCAATAATTATTGTTCTCCACATAGCATATAAACTATTGGGATGGGTCTAGTTTCAAGCTAGATCAACAGTACTGATGTAGATGAACCTATAATACCCATGGCAGCCTCTCTAATTCTTTAAAATGATATGGAGAGGTTTGGGTCACATTGTAACAACAAGCTAGACTATGGATTATAGTTGAATCATGGACAGCCAGAATGTGTGTGAACCCTGTACTGTGGTTTGACTATGGGTTGTGAACCACAAACAACTCAGAGGGCCAGTTTGCACTTAATGCTAACCCACCATGAGTTAATTAGCCCATGGAATTTTGTGATATGTTCTAGCACCATTCTGAATATGCAAGCCACATGCATGTACTATAACTTTAGCAATCAAAATCTGCTCAGCACGCACCATAGTACCCTGTGGCATAAAAGAACCACAATGGGATGTGGTGATTTTGCAAACAGGCCACAATTGACAATGCAACAACACAGCATGACTGTAGTTAATTGTCAATAGTTCAACCATAGTTCAGTTTTGCATGCAAAACAATCTATAATTCTACAACAATCCAACAGAACCTATACTCTGGATTTTTGTCACATGTGAACTATATTAGAGAGCCAAGAGATGCTACTGAATAGAGTAGCTGTAGCATGTGGGGGTCCCTAAAAATCTGGTACAAGTATTTTCCACAAGAATTGCTTGCTGAAGAATTCTTGCTGAAGGCAAATGCCGGATCCAACTCACTGTGAGTTTATAAAATTATCCTTTATAAAATCCCCTTTTCCCCATTTCCTATAAGGAAGCCAAATCAAAATAAATTGAATAAAACCCTTACCATCATTTCTCAGGATTAAAGGTGTAGGAGGTCCCAGAACTCTGTTGTTGGTTACAGTGTTTGTCACCACACACGTGTAATTTCCTACATCGGATTTTTCCACTTTAGCTATGTACAAATTTCCAGTCTCTTGAGAAACAAAACGGCGATTATCCTGATGCACAAAAGATGGATATTCATTGAAAATCCAGGCATAGATCAATTCTGAAAATAAGAACAATATATTATTAATATCATTGTGGACAATGATATTATAAAAGTACTGCTATTTTCTTGCAGTATAAAAAGAGATTAAACATAACAAAACTTTCTTAGGTATTTACATATCACTTTTCAAAAACCATTTGCTTATTGTTTTTAACAACTGTTCTCAAATCAAGTAAAAAGACTATTAAAAAGTAATTAAAATTAAATCTCCATTTGTAGTGCATGGGTGTGCTTAGGGATAAAAAGGTTACTTGAAGAACTCAATTAACTCCCATTATTTTTAGAACTGTTACTTTTTCCCTATCTTTGCAAATTGCATAGAATCTAAGAATGCAGTGGCATACAAAACATTCAGGGTTAACCCTATTGCTCCAAATGAGCCATATGTGCACTGTCTCCTCCAGTGAGGCCTGGTGGTACACACAGTCAACAGAGGGTCCACTGCAACTGCCCCCCCCCGCCCTGATTTTTATCAAGATGGTATTTTTCAGATTCTAGACAAAGTATTGAAAAGGGAGGGAAGAAGACTGAGATGCTGACACCGATCAACCTAAGTCCTTCACTGAATCCTCGTTCTTTCCCTGTCCCCATCGCATCGCATTTCTTCCATTCCAAGGTACATTTGAGACCTCAGGCAAGGCAGCTGGTACTCTTCTTTCTGGTGCTCTACTTTCTGACTAAGTGGGGTGGGAGAAGGGCTTGGACTTCAGAATCCCAGTTCTAAGAATGCAGAAACTTGAAACAATGCCATGGCCTCCCAGGTAATGTTGGGAGACCACAGGGTTGTGCCTTTAATCTTGCGGGTGGCTGCAAGCTGTGATGAGTGTATATAGTTAATATCAATAGTGGTTGCATAGTGGTACCACAAGGAGAGGCTCCCAGGCCATAGGATGTGTTGCGTAGGCATGAGTTCAGGAGAAGTGACCTCATGACTTGGGCTAGCCAGTGTGACTGAGATAAAGAATGAATGATGAGTGGTGGGATTCTTGCAGAGAGGGGGTCAGGCCCGACCTGAAATAATTTCTCCATAAAGAGATTAGGCAAAATGAACCTGCAAGGAATGACTATCATTGTCTTGAGTGAGCACAGTAGTCACCAAGAGGTGAAGGGAAAGACACAGGACACCTAGAAATCACCCTGTCAATAGTAGCCAGCAAACACAAAGAACAGGCCTATTTACCCACAGAAAACAAATATAGTCAAGTAGAAGGCAGCAGTTAAAGAAAAGGTTAAGGTCATCAAGTGCAATCAAGCCCCCCTCAAGCAATTTGAATAAGACTGAGGTTCAAGGGGGACCTCCCTGCTCCCACAGAAGCAAACACAAGAAAAAAGGGTATGAGAACTGGGGACTTAGAAAATGAAAGTGGGAAAGATCTAAACACAGACCTGGCACCCAGCCTATTCCTAGAGCATGGAATACTTGCACCCCTCCTGCCTATACAAGAGACTGCTGTCAAGAGTCCACTGACAGACAAGCAGTCGCCTGGGACTCCAGTTCTGTTCCTCTCAGCATCTTTCTATGCACAAGGCTATTAGCTAGAAGGCTCCTCACCTCTTTACAAACATAAAGTAAGACTGGGATGCAATAGGAACATTAGCTGCCTAGACAGCTAATTAGGATAAGTGTCTTTATTTCCTTCTGAATAAACCTTCCTTTTGCTTTCTAAGTGCTGTGTATGTCTGTGTGAATGTCAAGTCAGGGCTCATTCTACTCTGGCAGGCCCCAACAGAAGATCCTAAGCCTCTCTGGAGCTATCTGGAGAACAAATGCCTCCTTTTGTTCCCTGAGCAAAACAAAACAAATGGCTAACAGTTTGAGACCCAGCCCCTGTCAATATAATTTGAGTAGTGTAGTCATGTGAATCAACTCTGTCTAAAACCCTGTCAATGTAGGTGGCCTGAAATAATTAAAAGTTGAAGCAGAGAGAAGGAAAATATATTTATTTTTCATAAGAACAACAATTGAAATTGAAACTGCACACAGACAAACAAACAGAGAGAGTGAGATAGAGAAAAGTAGTGAGAGAGAGCAAGAGAGATATTCTACAGAAGTTCCAAGTTATACGTGGCCATCATTAAGGTCCAGTAGGAGGAAGCAACCCATCCCAGGATGAGTAACACAGCGAAAGTCCATCCTGGCCCTATACATTGACTATAAAGGGAGCAGCTGCACAGAGCTTGCTTTGCCTGTCCCTAACAGAAAGAACACTTGGCTAAACTGAGACTCATATTACACATTACTTTGGCAATGAGGTGTGAAGCCCCTAAAGTTCTTTTGGGCAATGAAAATTGCCAATGCACAGCCTCATCTGAATTGGGACCAGAGCACAGAGCGAAGGTTAAAGGTCCCACAATGGTGAAATCCAGATGAGTATTCCAGCACTTACTTTAGATTAAGAAAGCTGCAGCTGTGAGATACACCTCAAAAGCTTTTATGTGGCTCGGTTGTGGCAGCTGCCCTGGGGCTGCAGAGGCACGAAAAAGGAGTATGAGGCCTGTGATTTATGTGAGAGTTAACTCATCTCTTATAACCTAAGAAAAAGTCATGGGTTTTGCAAAGGATTGTATAACACAAGACACATGGCCAGGCAAAAAATATGCAAGCCACACATGGCATCCTCTCTTGCCCAGGTTACAGGCACTGTCACATTTGATTGGCATGGGAGTTGTAGGCTGTTCCATATCCAACTTGGACAGGTTCAGTCCTTCTTAGGCAATCTGGTGGCCTGCAGCTCCCCGTGGACTGCCGTACTGCTGTCGAAAGTGTGGGGACCTGATCAGCACAGCTTGCTGCAGCCAGGAACTCCCAAGTAACTGGATTACAGGCTTGTGCCCACTGTGGCTTATATAAGCTGCTTTGATCATGCAAACTGGAACACAGACTTCTTTGTTTGCACTGTTTTAAATCACCAAATGATTGGCTTATGCAGCTCCTTGGATTCAGTAGTCCTTTGGGCCCATATTCCTTTTCTCGTCTCTACCAGTTTTCTTGTACAGATATGCTTTGATATACTCTGGAGGGTATAACAAAAACATGTATAGCAAATGGAGTTATAAGCAGCTGTGCTATAGCTAATTAGGTAATACTCCCAAATTTATAGCATATCTTTGGAAATTATCCAAGAATGGACAACAGGGACACATTTTGCAAGCAGTGTCTAGCACTTTGGTTAATTTACTATAACTGCATTGTATTAATACAAGACGAATACCCCGAACACCCTGAAACAATCAAGAAATGAGAGAACAACAAGATGTTGCTGTTTTATTGGACAAATGCTAATAATATCAGGAAAAGGTGTATTCTTACTTTAACACTCTCTAATGAGACATTGCTGTAATTGACCACAGCTATTGTGAGGTAGAATACACCAGAAGAATACACCAGGCTCTATCCACCAGACTTGCTGAGCAACTGCCATTCATTTCATCAGGGCTTGTGTGGGCCCATTATATTCTAATGCTTTGTTGTTTACCAACAAAAGATATGGGCATGTGGATTGTTGGGCTTTTATAATAACAAATAACAAATTATACAGGGCTGGAGACCATCTTTGTAGATTATTTTTTGAAGATAGTGCCACGTAAACATAATTATCCTATCTAATCATTGTATTTACACATGATGAGTAACCTCATGCTGATGTCAAGAGGATACTCATAGTAAACAAGATAGCACTTCTCAGCAGGCTTAAAAATTTTCAGCAAGCAATTAACATCCATTTTTGTTTTAATTTACACTTGCCAAACAACTTGCTTCCCTATAAATGTGGACAAAAGTAGGCAGCCCTTCCTGCTTTAGTGTGTACAGAGTTTTTTTTAAAGCATTCAGTTATTATCTACTGTCCCTACACAAAAGAAGTCAGAATCAAAGAACCTCCAGCTTCAGGCACTCTTGGACAAAGGGAAGCTTTGGTGAAAACTGTGACCATGGACATGGGCCTGCTCTCAGAGACCTTTCCCATGGAATCAGCATCCCACTGGGAGGACAGTAATCACTCTGTGCATCCCATGGAATTGGTCACATTTAGTCCTGTGTTTTACGCACGTGCACCTGTACTGTATCTCCCATGCTGCAGTGCACTTGCAGGAGACCACAGTCTGCTTTGGAAATTCCAAGCAGAGATATGGCTATTGCTTGTGGCCCATGATAAGCAGAACATAAAATATGAAAGGGAGACTAGATGCAACGTAGGTTCACATGTTCCCATAGCTTGCGCCACTCAAAAGCATCGCTGCAGTTCCTCATCTCCCATCTACATTTTCCTTTTAGCATTTTCGTAAGAGCTGACAATACAAGCCATCACTTACCAGTGACTCATCGTAGGGCTGCTGATGCAGTGGTTTCAGATCTGTAGGTGGTAAGTGCAGTTAGCACATTGATTGATGCTGTATGTGAACCTTCCCATGCAAGCACTTATTTTAAGGTGTTGGGTTTTTAAATACACCTACTATTAACAGTAATAATTTCCAGAGAGGGTGCTGTGTTAGTGTGTTGCAGCAAAATAACAAACAGCCTTGTGAATCTGTTGTACTTCTGATGACACACTTTGTCTTTCTCCCTGAACCTCCAACTCAACATGTGTACAACTGCCAAGTTGCAGCTCACACTTCATGCATCTGATGAAGCTGACAATGTCCATGGAAGCTTATTTCAGAAGAAAACTGTTAATATTTAAGATGCCACAAGATTTTTTGTCTTTTTGCCCAAACAGAGTTATTTGAAACAATTTCTCTGTATGCAACAATGCACTGAGCAAAATGTACCCACAAGCAATAAAGAACTGCAACCTATGCTATTCACTTCAAAAACCTTTGGTTAATATTTTTCAAAATCTGAATCTTTCACATTTTTAATTAGTACAACACACCACCATGATTATTCATCTAGAGAATGATTAACCTGTGCAGGATCAAGTACCATCATTATAGATATTTATATTATGCTATTTGTCAGGATTGCAGAGATGTGCAAAGTAAGGTATGAATGAATGCAG